CATTCAGCAAGCCGGGAACGTGACGAAAACGATAATTTTCTTGTGCTTGTTTTATGGAAATGAGTGTATTATTAGAAGATGGAAGGAAAAAAAAAAAAGGAAGAAGAAAGAAGCGATTAGATTGAATTGTCGTTTATAATATACATAAGTAAATTATTTCTGACTATTGAATGGAGTTTCGAACATTCATCCGGGATATATTGATCGATGTACACAAAATAAATAAAAAAGTTTTTTTATTATCGCGTTTGGATTTATTTTTATCGAGAGAATTTCATTCATTCGTTCGTTGATTCTATTTATAGAAAGATAAGATGAAAATTTTAGAAATTTTAAATTTCTTGTCGTCGAATGTTTCCTTGTCGATAAGTTTAGATTTCTGAACTTTGCCGACCGATTTGTTAAATAAATTTAAATAAGAAAATTTATTATAAAATTCAAATAATATATAATGTTGGACGTGACTCATGGAACAAATCATCTTACAAAACAACTTACCATTTAAATCTTCTAAATGATAAGACTCAGATAAAAGCTTTGAAACGAAGTTGTAAAGTGACATAAACATGTCTTAATGATAATACTAATGAGTTTTATATCGTGTTTAAAATTTTTTAGTTCACAACGTGAACAATTTAATTAAATTACCCTGAAGTTTCAAAAATTTCACGAACTGTGCGAATCGATCAATCGAAATTATTACGCGCAAATAGGGTCTTTTAAAAGGCCGGACTCGGCCGTGTGAATCACCGATTAACGATGGAACGCGAGGATAAATAGTGTGTCAGTGGGTTAAACCGACGTCCTGTTATAAACTGAAGATTTTTCCGCGGAAAACGTTTCCACGTCGAGGATAGGATTATTAACCGTGTATTCTTATTTTGAGATCGCTCGAGACCGCTTCCGTCCTCTACTTATCGACTGAGCGTTTTCTTACGCCTCGTTGGGGATCAATTAACGTCCCCACGCAGTCGATCGTGTGGTCGTAAAGGCACGTGGAAAGTTCTCGAGCGGATAACGGGTAACAGGGAAAAAGTGCATCGAGTTGAGAAAAAATTAACCTCCGGGATATATTTTGGAAGATATTACAGATGATACGACACTTCTTTTTGTTTGGAATTTAAGAGAATTAAGCCTTCAAAGACGTGTTCTGAATTTTTTTAAGGTTTAAAACCAATAACTCGATTAGTTTTCATTCGACTTGAAGACGAATTTTGAAGACGATTTAATTGAATGGTATACATTTTTTTTTTATTGTCATGTAAAGGATCCTCCCTGTATTATGGGATATATAATATTAATATCGTTATGGAATTTTATAATTTAATATTAACGAAAATTTTATAAGAGTTAAAGCTTTTTTTTTTTTCAAACAATATATCACATATAGAGGTATATGTTTGAAAACACCGCTAAATATTTATATCGTAAGTACAGCATTATCATATGCCCGTTATCCGAACTAACCTGCACCCAACAGTTCCATTGCGTTATCACTTCCCATGAAGATAGCACATGGCAATCAACTTGAGAATACCTAATGCCTGGTCGTAATAACAGCGGAAGAGAAATTGTGATATCGTGTAACGAATATATCAGATTAACTCGTATTGTAGCGTGATCCCTATTTAACTCGTCATAAGGTTGGAAAAACAAGTTGGAGTATCCGACATTTATATCACATTTTTATTAAATAGCCAGGTTTCTGCGATCTAGATTTAAAACTTTGACACGCGTGCAATAAGTGAGAATGATATTCAATTTTTTTCTTGATAAGATATCCATTGTACATCCATTGTTGCAAAAATGGTATAAGTGGTATAAGTATCTACGATACATCAAATTAAATCATCAAATCGTGATAAACAAGGATCGTTTTCGTTATGAATTTCAAATAATTTAATTAAGATTAAATACACGTAAAATATTAATAATTTTGTGAAATATTAAGTCGATCTTCGCGATCTTAAATTTCAATTCCAGTATTCTTGAAATTTGGACAGACTTGGCCAGAGATAACTGATTTTAAAAATATTGTATATAGTCGAACAGAATTTCGAAATTGGCAAAATTTTGCAATCGAAACATAAAACAACGAAATGAACGGACGTTCGAATGGTATAAACACTCGTGACTTCTGATAATATATTTATTAAATCAAAATCTTTATAATACATATTTCGTATGAATTGTTATTGAAACATGTGCAGTCTATGGTTCCATGAAATAATTCAATCTTTAATTCTACTACGTAGTATTTAAGTAACACGATTTTGGATGGAAGTAGTTATATAAAGTGAAAAGATTTCTTTTCATTTTATCTAAGTTTTTTTTTTTTTTTTTTTAAGTAATGTTTTAACCAATGCAGTTACTTTCACTTACATCTGTAGTGTAATTTATAAATGGATAAAAATGATGTAAAATTAAATCTCATTTATAAATATTAATTAAATATCGAAAATTGAATAATACAAATTACATTGAATCATTCGTCCTATTGTAGATAAAAAATAATACCACCTTAACTTAAGCAAACTCTATTTCAACGTGTAAATGACGACTTATAAATAATATCTATAAACGTTAAAAATATTCATTTTTTATCCCGTATAAACAGGATTAAATACAAGATTAATAAATAATTCATAATTAATCGATTCAAGAGTAGATAATAAAAATTCAGATAATTCAATTCTTTTGTATGAACATATGTTTATTGTGACGATTATCGGTATTTATATTTATGAATTATATATTCTTATTTAATGTCCAATCGGAATGTTTCTTCCTTCTTAATTTTAAAAAAAGATCAAATCCGCACGAACGACCAGCGTGAGATAAATGACGGGTGAAGAAGACGATAAATGACCGTGATGAAACATATGTGCACGACCATCGTCGTATCACGGTCACGGTGAAATGCATTAATCGTCATCATTTTTCTTCTGTCTGTTAATAACGTAGAGTGGAGATAAAAAGATATTTATAGAGTTATGTTAACAATGCGTTTTCGAAATAAAACAATTATTCAATCATGCGCATCAAGATTTTTCTAGTTTTCTTAGAAATTAAAAACAATAGTACTTTGATAGAAAGATCGAAATCGATCTTATTGTATGCAAATTAAAATTCTTAGAACTTGATTTATTTGCAAGTTTCGATCGAATTTTGAATATTGTAAATATAATAGTTCGAGAATTTTATCAGTAACAGTAAGTGAAAAATAGAGAATTAAATAAATATTTTAAAATTGTGTAGAATGAAGTTCAATAAATTTTTATTTTAAAGAATGAAGTTCAAAGATCGTGAAATTTTATTTTCTTAAAAAAATTAATTTCAATTAAAAGATTATTCCAGATTATTCGTCAAATATATGTTTTATTCATGCAACATTATCTTAATTATTATTCATAATATTCGGCATGAAAATTATTTCGTGGAGTATAAAAAAAAGAACTACTTTTTATCATTGATGTCGTGAAATAAATCTTATTTTTCCATTCGTAAATATTTGTCACACGCAAATCAGAAGCATGTACGTCATTAACGAGAATTTAAAAGAGAAAAGAAATTATACCGATGAATTTCGTATCGAATAAAAAAAAAAAAAAGAGAAGGAAAAGGGTACAGATGTTACTTAAATAAATGGTACGTTAGAATTATTGGTTCATATAATTGCTGTTTTCTTTTTTAACTATTGTCATCATTTAATTAAAATCATTCAATTGATTATGGATTATATTATATTGTTTATAAATAAATATAGATGGATATGTATAATATTCTATAGTAATTATTTACCTATAGTAATAGGATCTTGCACAAGAAATCTTATGCCAATATCCATGTAACATTGAATGTAGCAGTCTGAGATCCGGTCATGTTCCCCTTCCATTCACTGTTGGATGCTATCTTTAACTACTTACTTATCTCATTGGTTACATATCAAGGAGAAACGGCTGTTTGTTCTGTTGTTTTCAATATTTGTAAAATTCAATTGGTTGGATTGGAGATTGCACTAAATCAGTAATTAGAATTATTAGAATAATTTATGATGATTTATATAAATATTTTATTGATTATATTTTTATGAATATAATTTTTCATTTAAATATAAAATATATCATCTACGAAAATAGATATTATCTCCATTGAAAAAATAAAAAGTTTTTCCAAAAAAGTTTAAAATTAAATTTTAAAATTTATTGCATATTATGGAAAGATAGCTTATTGTTTAATATTAATTTAGAATTATTGATTTAGAATATGTTCACGAAATAATGTTAAAAATATTTTTTTGTTTTTTTAACTTTTTCACATTTAAATTTGGAAAACTTTGGAAAATAATTTGAAAATATCCCAACCATATATTTTCATGAGCATTTTGGATTCCCTAGAGTTTCTCAGCAGTTTTCTAGTGCCTGGATTGAAAGGAACCATATATAATCCTCATTGTTCCTGAATTTACTGTAAAAGTTTTTATATGCTCGACATAAATTTCACTTCTTCAACTATATTTTCAAACTCGTATTGAAAAAAATCTTTTAGTAAGATAATGCTTCAATATAATATATAAATTTCGTACAATGATATTTTATTCAAAGAATAACTAAAATTTTGAAATGCAAGCTCACTTAATCTCAATGTCATTAAAATATATTTTTTTTTATTCTCATAAAAATAACTGATATTGTTTTAAGCTGGATTTTATAAATTTATCGCGGTTATAATTTTATATCAATTTATTAAAGACAATTCGTTATCGCTATATTTATTCATATGGTTCTTACAGTGATGTTTTATTCCATAAATCATATTGCATGTGACACAATATAGTCTTTGGATCAGGTGAACAAAAAAATACGTTAAGTGTCTCGTCTATTTTATACTTTATCTATGATTAAGATTGATAGACAAACGATGTCTCAGTCGGTAATATCGTTGCACTACATATTGAAGAATAGACAGGAGTATACATCATGGAAAAAGAAAAGAAAAACTTCCGACAATGATGTTCGTTTATTCTTTCAGTCAATTAAAATCGAACCGCTTTCGAACCGTTTACATAGGCCATGTATATCGTAATTGCTCTGTAGAGAAAGTAATCTCTCTTTCTATATACTCGTTTATATATGTATATATATGTATGTATGTATGTATATATATATAAATATACATATACTAACTGGATGGCTATTGTGTCGCAATGGTAGGCCAGTCAACAGCTCGTTTTCCTTCGTTCGGTTAACGGTTCGCGTCTCATTACATACTTCTTTCGTATATAGTTCGTTGTGAAACACCCGGTAGGAGAGAATGCGATTGGTGAAACATTTGTATACTTACACGCGTTCATTTCAAGCGAGGAAACAGGAAGACTTTCAGTGTCATCTGTTCAGATGATCACGTGATATCAAGAAAAATATTTGGCAAATTTTTTCACAGTATCATATTATTGAATTATAAAAATATATTCTTACGAAAGTAAATAGAATGTGATAAAAGAACGTCGTATATCAATTTTTTTTAAAAGTTTATTTGCTAAAATAAATTATCCGTTAAAATTTTATTCATTCTTTACGATCGATTCTGTCGTCAAATTTAAATTTCTTTCAATATATTTTTCTAATATTTTCTAAATATCACGTTTAATTGTAAAAATGCTCATCAAATGTTGTAACTTTAATTACATTTGATAATTATATAAAATTATCTCAAAATTTGTCTCACAATAAATTTACTTGCAATACTTCATATATCGCTGACAATGTAACCCCGAGACGTCATATTCCATGGCTGCAAAGACTTCCCACTAGATAGATGCACTTGTGCCAGCCAGTCTCGGGAAACCCCGGAGAATTGTTAGCGGGTCTTCAAACGATATGTAATAGAAATTCTTCGGTGGAGAACGAAGCTAATCATAGCGCGGCTGAGAAAAGACGGGGGCTTCGTCCAAGCTCCTTTATGTAAACCTTGAGACTAGATCCGGATTCTTGAGAAGCGATGAGTGAAGGGGAGGTAACAAGACGTGTAACGAGGACAGACCAAACGGCGAATCTGGCGAAGAAAGAGAGATGGATTGATATGGATCAGAGAAAGATGGCGTAAAGAAGTGGGGGAAAGATTCAAAGAGAAGGGATATATACTTCTATTCGGTTAAAGAACTGCGACTTGCCATTGCACAGAAGGAGAAAGAGAGGGGGAAAAAGCAACTGGAGAGGGAGATTCACGCACTTTTAGATCGGCAGGAGGAAAAAGCAAGCACGTCGGCGAAAGTGTTCTTGTGTATTGCGCTCGTCGGCCCTCACCTCCAGTAACGTACAAATTTAATGGCGGCCACGAAGAAAGAAAAATAAAAAGAACGAATCTATCGCAATCGTATCGCTCGACTTGGATCTCTTTTTATGGTTCTGATTGAATTCGAAATTCTGTGATTAATTCTCCTATATGAATCCTCTTCTGTTATAAGCATGTTTTAATAGGATTAATTTTATTATCTAACCTATGAAAAACCTAAATATGATGATAATATAATGAAGATAACTTGCCATGAATTAACTGGTTAGTTTTTCGATAATAAATCGAATTGGATTATTTTTCAACGAAGCTTATATGTGAAAAAATAAATATAATAAATTCAAAGAATTCATATATGAATATCATCGAGTACATAATCATAATACTTTGAACGAAATAGATAATCGCCGTGACAAATGTCCACACTTTGGAATTCGATTCGCGAAGATGAGTTTAACGCAATTCCGCGCGTAATTACGCGTAACGTCACTCGTCGAGGAAAATAAAGTCGGCAAATAATGCGTTGTTGCTACCACTGTTCCGTTCGCAACCGAGAAATAATCGTATGCGTGTAAGTCGTGTATATGTGTGTTACGCGTTCCCAGCTCAGATCAGATTCGTTTTACGAGAACGCGCCACATTGGCGGCTGGCTCTCCAACGAGGGCCTCGATAAAAATGACCTCGTTTCTGTCAAACGGAGATTAAGTAACTATGTACCACAGCCGTGTTATACTTCCTTTCACTGCAGAACTTTACGCGCATAAGAAACGAGTCGGTCGCCTATCATTTTCTCTCTCTTCCTCTCACGCGTTACCTTTTTTTTTTATTGGAATTCAAGCAAAAGACACGAAAACTGATTTTATCGCAATAATAAATGTTTTATTCCTCAATGAAGCATGATAAAATTAATACGTTAAGTTTAACTGATTTTAAAATAGATTTTTGTTTCATGATTAAATATTTTATCCTATTAGAAAATAGGCATACCACTACATAGGCATTATATCATATATATTTATGAGCTTTAAATTATAATTATATTCGACATTCTATTAAATTAGCAATTATATTAAAAGTATTAAATTTATTTATTAATCATGAAACGAGAATAATTTTTGAACAAAAAGATATATACGTAATATATATAATGCAATATAAACTGAAGATAATAGTTATGATCATTATTATAATCAAAATTATTTTGAATGACTTCTTCACGTAAAAAATACATAAATAATTACAAAGCGTCGAAAACGAAGAAACCAGATTATCCAACTTTTTCCGTTACGTGACAACGAGAATAAAATTTGAGATAGTTGATGATTTTTTAAAAACTGGATATAATTGCATGTTTCGTGAAATTCGAATGATTGTCTCGATTTACGAAAGATAAACTGAAAGAGGGGAGGATATCTCTCGCTTGGGAGCCAGTCGACCGTCTTTTTTTGTCTCTCTATTCTTTTCTTTCCTCTCCGCATATCTTTCTCGTCGGTTCGCCAGTGGCTGTTGGTCGGCTTTTTCCTTCTTTTTCTCCTTCTGCCCATTCGTACTCGCTTCTTCCTCTCTTCCTATCCTCCTTCTGCTACATCGTGGCGAAGGTATGTAGGTTGTGCCACATCCTTGCCCGGAAACCGTTACCTTGCTGGCTTTACACTCAATGGAGCTCGCCATACCGTTGTTCCCCATACACGAATTTCCTTTAGCTTCGTTACTAGCTACGCACGACGCCTTTTCTCCTTGCTGACTTCCTTAGAATCGTTTTTATTTTTCCTTCCTGTTTTCTTATTTTTATTATTTGAATTCTGTAATTGTCTAAATCTAAATTTATTTATCTTTATCATCTCTACATTCTTATCATCTTTTATTTTTTTCTGTTTCATCGTCTAAAAAAATTGATTATTTTTGTATTTTCTTTTTGTTAACATAAAATATAGATTTTAAAAAAACATTTGGGATTTTATCTTGTTCTTTTTTTTTTTTTTTTTTTTTTGAAATTGAATAATCATCTTCAAATATAAAAACATTTGTCTGATAGTTAAATAAGAAAGTATATGAATAATAATAATAATAATAATAATACGATAATTAATCACAATGAATTGAAAAATTAGTTAATTAGTGATTCTTTTCAAGGATAAGAAAACTTCCGTATTAACTTCTGTGTTATTATATTATTTGTTATTCTTGATATTCAATGCCATTTCAAATTTCATTTAAGTATTTAATAATTGTAAATTGAGTCATCTTCATGTAAATGATGCGTGTATATATAATATGTACATAAATATTCGAAGGTAGGTAGCCAACTTTTTGAATTATGACTCACTCAGCTTCAAGACATGGATTTTAAAATATTTTCTTTATGAATTGTAAGCAATTTTTGTTTACTGAAACGTGTTGTAAGAATATTGCATTAAAGAACAATTGCTGAGATTATTTTTGAAGCAAGGTATTCAGTTGGAACGATATTTTCAAGGATCATCAAAGATGTTAAAAAATTCCTAGAATAGTTCGAATATTATGCTAAGTTAAAATACAAAACAATCATAAAAATATCATAATTCGAATCCTTAAGATAAATTAAAAATCCGAGAAAATTTCTCTCATTAAAGTAATCAATCAATATTATTAATAAATGTATTGTAATGAAATAACTTCATTATAAATAAAAAAGCAAAAATTTATGAATTGAAAAATAAATCTTTTCAATTCACAAAACACAAATAATAAGCATTGTATAATTAAATTAAATTTTAATTCACAGATAGAATAATAATGATTAATTTATTCATCCTTAAGTATATTTAATGTATTAAAAATTTGGAATGGAATGAAATCAAATCTTTCTTTAATCTATAACTGAAAATAAAATTAAAAATGAAAATAGCAAAGAAATGTTCCAGCGAAACGTCTTAATAGTGGTACGTTTCCAAGTTTTCCGATTTCTAGTTGTCTGTCATGTTCTGGCTTGTTTACAAACGATACGTTGCCTCGTGTGACACCTGATCATGAGTGACATTCCACCGATTTCCGAATTCTCGATCGCATACGCCTTGACTCTATCCTTATTTAGTCACGAGAAATCTCATTGCCACTTGACTTTCTTTTCTCATGTTTTTTACTATTAGCTTTTCTAATAATGTTTTTGTTATTTACCGATTACTTTTATTTTATTATTAGAATAGAAAAAATAAAAAATTATGTCATGATAATTTAACGTAGAATGTATAATTACATATCTAAAACGAAAAATAATCATATTAATAAATCGCTAAATCAACTTTAAAACGATAAACTTTTATTTATCGAATTTCTCACTATCGAAGTAGAAATCGAGCATAAGGAATCATCATATAATACCTAATTCTCTAACATTCTTTCACTTCTTTACATGTGTGTAATTAATATACAATTATTATTTCATTCCAATTATTTCATCACAGTTCATAAGATTATCTTTGTTTATAAAATGTCGCCGGCCATTTACACTTTTGTCGTCTCTTCTTTCTCCCCTTCCGTCGTATACCATTTGCAATTACTCCAGTGTATCCATTAGTCCGCGAAAAAACTGAGGGATAAAAAAGAATGGTTAGAGGGATGAGGAGCGTTGAAATTACGCTTTGACAGAACATTAAATAACGAGCATCATACGCGCGTTTCACGAAGTGTCTCGCTACATCGTTACAGGATACCGACGTAAACGCCGTGGTTAACATAGCCTTTGCGCTGCACCACGGTGTGTGGAAGTGGGCCGAGAAAATTATTTATACGTTGGTCGACACAGCTGATCCTCCACTGCGCGTGCACTCGCCCTCCTCTACCTTTTCTCTTTGCCTGTATTTTTGTGCAGCGAGCCGGCGAAGAGAGAATCAGTTCTCGCACAAAGAAAGACAATGACGCGATCGTATTATGAAAGAAAAAGGGAGAAAGAATTAGAAAGAAAAACAATATAAAGAGAAAGAGGAAGGGAAAGACGGTATGTTCATGTATACATATATATACTCGGCGCAGGCAGAACGAAAAAGCATATTCGATCTGGTGCTTGCTAGAAATAGCGACGAATAGACTGAAATAAACGCAACCTCGCAACGCGCGTCGACAAAGGATCTCTCTCGGTTTCGTGACGTTGTCACCGATCCCCCACTCTTGCCGAGTTCGCTTTTTCTCTCTCCATGCTTCTCTCTGCGCAGGTCTCTGGCATCGT